GGTTGTCATCCAAAATGAGCATAACATGAAATGAAATTTCTTTTGGATGAGAACTTGAGCCCAAACAATATCACAAAAAGGCAAACTACAGAACAGGAGAAAATATTTAGAAATGATATATCTGATAAGGTATTAATATCTAAAATATGTAAAGAACTCCTAAAAGAAAATAAAAATATAAACAACCCATTAAAATGTGAGCAAAGGACTTGAAATAAACATTTCTCCAAAGAAGATATACAAATAACCAATAAGCACATAAAAATATGCTCACTATCACTAATATTTAGAGAAATGCAAATCAAAACTACAATAAAATACCACTCCATACACATTAGGATGGCTAATATCAGAAAATAAAAACATAGAAAATAACAAGTGTTGGCAGGGATGTAGAGAAATTCGCACCCTGTACATTGTTGGTGGAGATGTAAAATGGTATAGCTGCTATGGAATATGGTACAATGTTTCCTCAAAAAATTAAAAACTATAATTACCAAATGATTTAGCAATTTCACTTCTGGGTATATATCCAAAAGAATTGAAAGCAAAGTCTTGAGGAAATATGTTTATATCCATATTCATAGCAGCGTTATTTACAACAGCCAAGCAGTAGAAGCAACCCAAGTATAAAATGACACTGGTTGCATAACAAAAAATAAACACCACTGAACTGAACACTTAAAAGAGGTAAAATAGTAAGTTTCATGTTATGTAGTTTTATCACCATTAAAAATAAATAAAATGCTATATAAAACCAAAAGTATCATAGTCAGAACAGATATAAAAATAAAGTAACTTTTCATCTGTTCATGTGATAATTCACTTAGCCTGTGTCTAGAACAGTAATGGCGAACCTATGACACGTGTGTCAGAGGTGACACGCGAACTCACTTTTTTGGTTGATTTTACTTTGTTAAGTGGCATTTAAATATATAAAATAAATATCAAAAATATAAGTATTTGTTTTACTATGGTTGCAAATATAAAAAAATTTCTATATATGACACAGCACCAGAGTTAAGTTAGGGTTTTTCAAAATGCTGACACGCCGAGCTCAAAAGGTTCGCCATCACTGGTCTAGAATTAGTCCTTATTTCAGTGTTTTTCAAACTGCATGTTATAATCCATTAATGCATCACAATAATTTTTTTTAAATGGAAGAGAATATGTCAGAGTACACTGCATAAAAGTTTGTGTGTGTGTGTATATGTGTGTATACAGTCATAATGTTAAATGTAGTTCTTACTATGGATCATTCCCACTGTATAACATACAGGGTGATTCCCACAGGACAATAAATGCCAGAAATAAGTGGGCCACTTTCTAGAATATCTAGGCCCTCTGGATCCCACTAATTAAGTATATGCTTACTAAGAATTAGTAAATGTTCCCAAATATGTTGATGCCAGTTGTGCTTATGTTATAATTATGTAATTTGATTACACATTTTATAAGTCAAAGAAGTATATATACATATATATATATGTATATATGATATTTATGTGAAACTCAGTCAAATAATTTTAAAGGCAAGTCCCTTTTAAAAGGTATAGGGACAACGAATGTAAAAGATTTGGAAGAATTATAAAAACAGATTTCTGCACTAAGATTGCTTTACAAGCACCTTCAAATTCATGTTTCATCTAAAAGAAAAGGGAAATAGCAATCATAAAAGATAATTTTTGTGACTCAGAAAAATTCATATTCAAAGAAAATATTTTAACCTAAGTCAACAGATTAAGCATATCCTTCCTATATAATAAAAGCCTAATATGCAAATTGTCCCCTCAACCAAGAGTTCGATTGGGAGTTCGACTGGGAGTTCAACCAGGGGGCGGAGCTGGCCGGCCAACCTCCTGCGGCTCCTCCCTCCAGCAGGCCCTGCCCAAACAGCCCCGATTGGGTGGGCTGGCTGGACCCCACCCATGCATGAATTCATGTACCAGGCCTCTAGTAAATACATAAGTATATATAAGATTTCATTTTATGATTCTTTGCTTTATTTTAACTAACTAACCAATTATTAGTCCCAATCACAATAGCTAAGAACACTTGGAGTCCAGTGATTGTCGGTAAATGTATTTATAGCTTCAGGATGAGTAAGGCCATCATAGTTAATATCCTGACCTTAGGTGCAGATCTCAGAGACTTTAAAAACTAAACATCCAGATGAGAAAAAAAACAAAAAAACCCACCTTCAATTACTTCAATTATAGAGTCAAACCAGCATTTTTAAATGTTGGCCAATATTAGAAGGCAATTATAACACTAATGATAGGATTTCCAATTAGACATGAGCATTACCTAAAATGTTTTAGGACTCCAAATACACATCTGGAGCTGCCAATGTATTATTCATATGAAGCCTGTAATCTTTCTTTTATGAGTTCTTTATGGATCCATTAGTCTCCATGGAGATATACACAATCAAGTGGCTCATCTATTTGTGCACAAAAGCTAGTGAGCTCCAGCATCACACATTATGGGTTATAAGATTCCATAAAAAAGAATTCTTGAGGTAGGCATTCATTAGAAATCATCAAATGAATACCTTGCCTAGATGCTTATAAAATATAGAGTTATTCTGGTTTTTATTTTAATATTATTACTAATGAGTTAGATAAAGTCTGAACAGGGTCTTTTAAGCCAACAACCTGGTATCCTAAGGGAGAGGTACAAAATGCTGAAGCAGAAGGATTCCTTACTTACAAAAGAGCAATAAAAAATGTCGGGAAGAAAATTTTACTGAGCAAGATATGTTGAAATTACAATTGAAAAGGGAAATAATCTCAAAGTAGGCAAAAGTCCTTAGATGTTAACTGTAGTTAACAAAGATCAGTAGCTAGTAGGTAGAGAAATGAAAATGGAGAGTCTAAAAAAAATCTCCATCTCTCCATATGTCCTTTTGGTGTCTTAAAAACCAAGAGAAAGTGCAAATGGAACCTAGAGTGGAAAAAAAGAGCACTCAAATTCTGAAGCCTGTCCAAAGGCAGCAGATACTCTTTTATAACTAGGCAGTAGTGCTTTAAGGCTCAAAGAATGAATAATAGAGGGAAATCACCCATCACTCATCAGTGAAACTATAACCCTTAGAATAAATATAGAATACATTCAGGTTAATTAATGCATAGCAACAAGAACAAATAGAAACGTGGAATACAAAGACAAACCACATAAGATACTCAAAATGGCGAAAGACTTAACTCCACAAAAGGTTATCCAAGAGACCAATAAACATACTATACACACATTCACTAATAATCAAAGAAATACAGATTAAAACCATCAGAGGCTATTATAAATACAGCAGATGACAGAAATTTTAAAGTATGAATATATGCATAAAGAAAGATATCTCATGCATTCTGGAAGGAGTGTAAACTGTACAACCCACTTTGGAAAGCTGCTTGGCATTATCTATTAAATCTGAAAACATGCACACCCTAAAACCAAGCAATTCCATTCCTAAGTATATACTCTAGAGAAATAAAATGCATGCACACGTGTACCAAGAGACACATAAGAGAATGTCCATAGCAAGTGTTATCAGTAATAGCAAAACAACCAGAAAAGAATAAACAAATCATGGTTTATTCAAACTGGAAGAAAACTAAACTATAACAACATATAAGAACATCAATAAATATAACTTTGAGAGGAGATATAACATAGAAAATAATATATTGATCTAATAACAATTTGATCTAATTTGCATAAAATTCAGAAATAGGCTGTGTGTGTGTATATATATATATATAGTATTAGTGATATATACATAGGTGTTTAAACTGGAATCAAAAGCAAGGAAGTAACTGCCATTAAAGTTAGGGTAGAGGTTTAGCTTTGGGGTGTTTACACATTATATTTATTTATTATGTAACACACTTATGTTTATGTTTTATTACATACTTTTCTGAGAAGTATGCAATGTACCATAATAAAGTTTATATTGCTTATTAGAACCTTTAAGAATACAATATATTTTTATGTTTACTGATCTTTGAAAAGAGTTCAAGTTTTACCATAATTCTTTTTTAAATGTTGCTTGGGTTCTAGCTAAGAAAGGAAGAATGCTACACTGAATGAAAAAATGTCAACTTCAGAAGTATTTTTCTTAATAAGTTAAAGCAAGATGAAAATTTAGAACAGTGTTATGTATAAAAGTTATTATTTATTTAAAACAAAAGTTAAATCCATACGGTGTGGCTCAGCAGTTGAGCGTGGACCTATAAACCAGGAGGTCACAGTTCGATTCCCAACCAGGGAATATGCCCAGGAAGCAGGCTCAATCCCCAGTAGGGGTGTGTGCAGGAGGCAACCAATCAATAATGTTTCTCTCATCATTAATGTTTCTATCTCTCTCTCCTTCTCCCTTCCTCTCTGAATTCAATAAAAATATATTTTAAAAAATATTAAATATAAGTTAAACCATTGTTGCTGTCTGCCTCCAAAAATTAATTTTAAAAAGTAAACTCTTGCCCAGCCAGTGTAGCTCAGTTGGTTGAGTGTTGACCCATGAACCAAGATGTCACTGGTTCGATTTCCAGTCAGGGCACATGCCCGGGTTTTAGGCTTGGTTCCCAGTAGAGGGTGTGCAGGAGGCAACCAATCAATAATGTTTCTCTCATCAATGATGTTTCTATCTTTCTCTCCCTTGCCCTTTTTCTCTCTCTAAAAAAAAAAAAATCAAAAATCAATAAAAACATTAACTTAAAAAAAAAAGTAAACTTTTTTTTATAACATTAGTACTTTGAGAGTCTATATTATGAAATGACAGATGAAAATACATTTTCCTATCTCTATCCACATGGAAATGACATGAAGATAAGTAAGAAATACAAGCTTTTCTTCATGTTCTGTAATAAGAAGTAAACATTTAAGATAATTTATTTTTATGAATAAAAAGTATTTTTAAATAATCTGATCAGATAAAAAAAAACCTAGTTTTTAAGCCTCATAAATGCCAGTACTTTTGGTTCAGAAAGCTTTCATCTTACCTTTAATAATTCAAAATAGTGCCAACAGTGATACACAGGCACTAGCATAAGACGTGGAAGGACATAACGAACTGCCTCTCTAAAACCATCAGCAATGGACTGCAAAGCAAAAAGATATAATATTATACCGCTGATATCAAGGATATATAACAGCAGTGCCGAACAGAAATAGCTTTTGAAATTACAAGAAACAGACTTAATAAAACTATAATGAAAAACATGTTCTTTATTAAAATTGAAGAGCTGTCGATTAAGTTTTTTTCTCCTTTTTACTTCTTAAAGTTATTAAATACTTAAATTTCTTCATCTCTTAGATGGCTAAAATAACTTTCACTATAGTCCTCTCAGCTTTTCTTTAAAAAAATGGGACTCCACATACTCTACAGGAATTTTGACAAATGATGAACTTTTTCTCACATTTTTATGTCACCATTTGAAATGCTTTAAATTTAAGTAGTTACAAAGGATATTTCGGGGGGGGGGTGTTATATATATATATATTGTAAATATGCTTTAAATACATTTCACCAAACAATGATTTAAAAAATTTCAGATTTAGCTCATTTATTAAAAAGTCTGTCGTATCACTTAATTGACAGAGACAATCTTCACTGTCAAAAAAAACCAGTCAGATCAGACTCTTTTTCTGCAAAAACTCTGACTTCATTCTTAAATTCAAATACACATGTTAATGTCACAGTCTTAAGTATGGGGGAAGCATCTAGAAGAACCGAACACCCAGGTATGGGAACTTTAACTTTATAAAAGTCTCCATCTTCTTTCTCCCACTGTCCAATGAATGGTGAAGTAGAATAAAAGTTAAACCACTGTTGCTGTCTGCCTCCAAAAATTAACTTTAAAAAGTACACTCTTGCCCACCCAGTGTAGCTCAGTTGGTTTTTTAAAAGTTAATATTTACCCTATTACATCCATCTCACTTCTTAATTCTTAGATATATATGACAAGACATAGGTAGACATGACATGCCATTTCAACTATCAAGAGTTTTAACAATCAAAAAAGTTCTCTTGGAATCTTTGCTTTGCACTCAATGAACTTGTGACATTGTGATTTATAAGATATCTCATCTACATCACAGTTCCAGGCTCCCCAAACCCTAGGAATTTTCAAAGTTTAGAGAGTGAAAAAAAGTGCAAAAAAGGTGCCTTTTGTTATATTAATGACTTTTAGACTAGGGCTGGTTGCCAGGAGAACCAACCAACCCTGTGATTAGAGGTCTGGAATTTTCAGCCCCACTCCCAGGCCTGATTTAGGGGAGGGAAGAGGGGCTAGAGATTGAGTTCAATTTCCAGTGGCCACTAACATTGTCAATCTAGACTACCTAATGAAGCCTCCATATAAACCCAGGAAGGGAGTTCACTGGTCTTTTTGGAGAACTTACATGTTGGGGAACCAGAATGTTTCCATGTGCCACTATGCTGAGGCCCCAAGCTCCATGGGGACAAGCTTTTTTGTTGGGAACCTCACCCCATGTTGTCTGTTCATCTGGCTGATGCCACATACCCCTTAATATCATTTTCCTTAGATATACTTTCATAATAAACCAGTAATCTAGTAAGTAAAATGTTTCTCTGAGCCAATTTAGCAAATTGAACCTAAGGAGGGAGTCATTGGAACCCCAATATAGCCAGTTGGTCAGATAAAGCAAGAGCCAAGGCTTACTGCTGGCATCTGAAGAGAGAGAGAGAGAAAGAGAGAGAGAGAGAGAGAGAGAGAGAGAGAGAGAGAGAGAGAGAGAGAGTGTGTGTGTGTGTGTGTGTGTGTAGCTGGAGAGACCAATATTGCATGATTGAAGCCTTAATCTGTGGCATCTGGTCCTATTTCCAATAGTGTCAGAACTGATTTGAATTCTTGCTGGTGTCTGAGAAATTGTTTGTTGGTGGGGGTGAACTACCCCTTACTTCGGAATTGGGTCCAGGAACTCCATTCAGACTTATATATCAGGATAAATACATTTTTTCCTGACTGGTGCCCTGGAAGTTTTTACACCTTGGATCAATGCATAATGGGAAATTCAATATGGTTATAGGTAATGGGTAAGAGAAACTGGAAAATAGAATGCAAAAACACAAACAAGATGGCAGGCAGACTAGAAACTGATTCCCTTAAAGTTATCTGTGCTCGTATATCGCCTGAAATATCTTAGTGTATAGCTAGGGTTACATATATCTCAGTTTTAAAAACTAATAGTCTGGCCTGGCTGGTGTGGCTCAGTGGCTGAGCATCTATCTATGAACCAGGAGGTCACTGTTCGATTCCTGGTTGGGGCACATGCCTGGGTTGCGGGCTCAATCCCCAGTGTGGGGTTTGCAGGAGGCAGCCAATCAATGATTCTCTTTCATCATTGATGTTTCTAGCTTTCTCTCCCTCCCCCTTCCTCTCTGAAATCAATAAAAACATGTATTTTTTAAAAGAAAACTAATAGTCTGTAGAATACATCATTTTCTAAAATATATAAGGGATTTAAAAGTCAGTCATGTTGGTTTTAAATATCATTATGCATGATTTATTTAAATTGGTATTTCTCTTCAGATAAATACAGACAGTAATATATTATATGAAGAAAGAATTTCATATGTTGCCTTTAAAAGATATCCTCATAGATAAACACTCCCATAATTCTCACATATTAATTGAAATTAAATTGTAATTTGTTCAATAGACTTGGCAACTATTAGTTGGGCCAAAGCTCATATTTTTAAGGTGTGCTATACAAATTCTAAAAATTTATTTATTTATATTCTTTATTATTGAAATTATTATATATGTCCCCTTTTTCCCTGTTGTCCTCTCCCAGCCTGTCCCCACACCCCACTCCCGTCTGTGTCCATTGGTTATGCTTATATGCATACAAATTCTTTGGTTGATCCCTTCTGCCCCCCTAACTCCTCCCCCCACCTAAAATTTTTTTTATAATTTTTTTAAATGAAGCATTACTTTAGCTTTTTAAAGTTTATACAGTACAAGTGAGTTTGGCCTGCAAGGGGGTTTTATCTAACTCTTTCAACTTCACTGAATATCTGAAGCAATAGTTTAAATAAATTGCACCCTAGACGTCAAATCACACAGTAAGAACTACTAATAATGTAGGGATAAAACAAGAAATATGAGTGCTTTAAATGAATATGCAAATACCTTATTGGCAGATTGTCCAATTTAACAAATGTTTACTTTATGGTTTATATCTACATATAAGATTAACTTTAAAAAATGATACCTTCATTGAAATAAATTTTGAGAATTATAGATATAATTTTTATTCCACATTGACAAGCTTTTGAATAGACATAGAATATGGTAATGGGAATGCACAGTAAACAAGGCAGGGAAAAGATGGTAAATGAATATTTACATTTTTGAAGTGCCCATGGGATGTCTAAGTGAATTAAGGCAGCTGATTATATAAAGTGTACAAACACTGCTCAAAATAGAATTATGGCTTAAAAATACAAATATGAAGTCACCAATGAAAGGAACTGTAACCCTTTGCAACAGCATGGATTGACCTGGAGATTATTATGCTAAATGAAATATGCCAGTCAAAGACAAATAGCATATGATCTCACTTGTATGTAGAATCTAATGAACAAAATAAACTGATGAACAAAATAGAAACAGAGGCATGGATACAGGAACAGACTGACAGCTGTCAGAGGGGAAGTGGGTTGGGGGCTGGATGAAAGAAAGTTAAAGGATTAAACAAAGAAAAAAATATATATATACATACATACACACACACACACACACACACACACACACACATCTATATATATATAAAAGCCCAAGTGACTGAACAACCGGTCGCTATGATGCACATTGACCACCAGAAGGAAGATGCTCAACACAGGAACTGCCCCCTGGTGGTCAGTGCGCTCCCACAGTGGGAGCACTGCTTAGCTGACCAAGGGGTGCCAGATGCCAGGCTCACATCTGGCAAGCACAGCTGCGGTGGTGCAAGCCTCTCCTGCCTCCAAGGCAGCACTACTGAGTGGTGGTGGGGGCAGGCGCAGTGGGGCAGGATAAGCGGGAGCAGCGAGGCACCTGGCCCGAGTTCAGGCTCCTCCCCAGCCACCTGCTGCTTCACGCACTACTACCTCCCTCGGGGGATGTCAGACTGCAGGTTTTGGCCCGATGCGGGGATCCCTGAGAGGTCCTGGATTGCGAGAGGGCACAGGCCAGGCTGAGGGACCCCACTGGTGCATGAATCCGCGCTCCGGACCTCTAGTATGTATGTATATACATGTGTGTGTATGTATCACATAGACACAAACAACAGTGTAGTGATAGCCAGAGAGAAAGGGAGGTGGGGAGTGGATTGATGTGGGCAAAGGGGGAGAAATAAGAATGGAAAGGGAGTGATAGGCACAGGATACAGTATGCAGATAATATTTTATTGAGTTCTACACTTGAAGCCTGTATGGTTTTATGAACCAATGTTACCCCAATAAATTCAATGAAAAAAACAAATATGAAGTCACGAGCATATAGGCAGTAGCTAAAGCAAAGGGTATAAATAAAGTCACTAAAGAAGAGCATTAGAGGGACAGAAAATCAGAGGTTGACCATGGAGCCTGCAATTAAGGAGACTGAGAAGAAGAAATCAGAGAAGATGAAAATTAGGAGAAAGTATCATGGGAGCCAAAAGGATAAGAGGAGGACTCACAAATATTACAGACATAAATATGAAATAAAAATATCCACTTGGTTTCATGGTTAAGTTCATTGTCAAGGCAGTTTTTATTGTTATACCCTGATTAAGACACAAGTGGTAGAAGTTTAATGAAAAATGGTAAAAAGTAATATGAAGATAATTGGCTACAAAGGGGGAAAAAACAAAAAAAGAACATGACAAGGTTTACTGCTTGTTTTAAGAGAATAAAGATTTGACCATATTAATATGCTAAGGGAGAAGAGCCTGTCTAGATCAGGAAGTTTCTACAGCAATAAGTAGTCAAGGATCATCAATGCCAACATAACCTTCGTTTAGTGTTAAAAAGTAAAAATATAAATTTTGTCTCCACTTACTTTCACTTTATCTAACTGTATTACTGAACCAATTAACTTGTATACTTCCCATTAATATATTTATCTCCTTAAATTATAGGCCTGATAGAGAAATCGGTATGAGTACACATAAGGATATTCTCCACTCCTGATGATTTCAGTTCTATCTTATTGAAAATAAGAACCTGAAATAGCTCTCCATAATCATCTCTATATCCCAGATCTAGAATTTGCCAGATCAGTATGTGTGATGGCATTCTTTAAAAGATTTCTATATTAAAAACAGATTAGTTTTTTCAATCTAAAATAGGGTTTAAATGAACAGATTTTGAAAGATTGGTGACAATTTTCCTCAGTTGCTTTGTGAAAGATCCTAGAATTACAAATATTTAGAATGAATTGGTAAAATAGTTCTTTAGTTGCTTTACTTTAAAAAATGACTTTAAATTTACCTGAAAGTGTAGAGCCACTGCAGGTCTGGCCATCAACTTACTGAAATGTTCATTAAATTTTGGTGAAAGAATGTCCTGTGATAATGTTTCATAAGGATCAAATGCTTGCTCCTATTTTTTAAAAAAGAAAATGTGTTAGGTTTAAAAGATCATCTTTTCTATTAATATGGCACAGATTATTTAATGGCAAATTTGTTAGAACTCTTTGCCATCTACTTTGGAGGGACAAACAGTAAATATGGCTGTAACTGCGAATTTTTTTAAAATGTAAACAATGACCTTGAGACCTTGAGCTATTGATCACAGGAAGCTACTAGTCTTAAAATAGGTCACTGATTTTGTGTTCACAAGTATCAAACTATTAAAATGCTTATGCACATTACCCCCAATAAGTAAAAAGTGTATCTATTAGTAAAAGAAGGCTGAGATTTGAAATTTCAGTTAGTCTTGCCTACGTTGAAATAAGTTTATACTTAGGATACTTTCAAAGTAAGCAAAAAGTGATACCGCTCTTTGATGGTACTGTTCTTTTGGATAAAGATTAGAAAAAGAAAGCAAAGATTAATATACAGTAAAATAACAAGACAGAAACTACACATATTTTGTCCAATGTTTATATTTAAATTCCTACTATTTGATAATAATCAATATCTCCAATGTTTAGTTAAAACTAAGAGGTTTGTTTCACTTCTGTATTTTAAAAAATATAGCATGTTTTTCAGAAATAACAAGTATTGGCAAGAATGTAGAGAAATTGAAACCCTCATCTATTGCCAGTGGTAATGTAAAATGGTATAGCCCCTATAGAAAATATTTTTGGCAGTTCCTCAGAGAGCTAAACAAAGAATTACCATATGACCCAGCAATTCTACTCCTAGGTATGTACCCCAATGAACTGAAAACAGGGACTCAAACAGATACTTGTGTAACAATGTAATTGCAGCATTATTCACAATAGCCAAAAGGCAGAAAAAAAAAACAAGTGTTTCATCAATAAATAACTGGATAAACAAAACATGATATATACATACAATGCTCAACCATAGAAAGAAATGGAGTTCTGATACATGCAATGACATGGATGAACCTTATAAAATAAGGCAGTAAGTAAAATAAGTAAACCAAGTAAAATAAGCAGACACAAAGAACAAATATTGTATGATTCTAGTTATATCAAATATCTAGAATCAGCAAATTCATAGAGACAGAAAGTAGATTAAAATTACCCATGGTTGGAGGGTGGGAAAAAGAGGGAGTTGTTGCTTAATGAGTAGAGTTTCTGTTTAGGGTGGTAAAAAAGTTCTGGAAATAGATAATGGTAATGGTTGTATAATATTGTGCATTTAATTAACGACACTGAATTGTATACTTAAAAGTGGTTAAAATGGCAAATTTTTAAATATATATATTTTACAACAAAACAAAAATGCCTGGCTGGCGTGGCTAAGTGGTTGAGTGTCAACCTGTGAACCAGGAGGTCACGGTTCGATTCCAGGTCAGGGCACATACCCAGGTTGCAGGCTCATCCCGTGTGGGGCTGCAGGAGGCAGCCAATCAATGATTCCCTCTCATCACTGATGTTTCTAATCTTGCTCTCTCTCCCTCTCCCTTCCTCTCTAAAAATCAATAAAAAAAATTTTTGTAAAAATTAGAAAATTGTTTTTGAACCATAATATCTTTAAGAGTATAGCAGGCAAGCAAACTACAAATTAATATGCCAAGTTATCACAATATAAAAACTTTCTAATAAAAAGCAAACCTGAATATTTTGGTTAGGCATCAGTAACTGAATATTTTCAATACTATATTTCATTGTATATAAAACAGATGTAATAAAAGTGACCTATATTTTCAGAAAAATTTAAATAAAATTTACATGAACTCTAAAGATGTACTTTGAAAATCCTGTTTTCCAAAAGAAATTAAAAAGAAATGGCCAATGAGTATGACAAGATGTACAACATCATTAGTTAAAAAAAACACACAACAACAGTGAGATGCTGGAGTTTTCTTTTACCACTAGACTGGCAAAAATGGCATAATCTCAGAGTTAGTGGAAGTGTGGGGAAAAAAGCCTGCATATACGTACTAGAATTTATTTGGAAATAAGTTTGGCAAAATGTTTCAAAGTTCTAAAAACATACCAAGTCTTTAGTACTACAATTCCTCGTCTACGAATATATTCTAAAACAATTATTAGACTATGAAGTCACAGTATGAATATGTTTGTTGCAGTATTATTTACAATAACAAAAATGGAAACAACATACATGCCTAATGATAATAGATAGTTAAAATGTTATGGTGTCTCCATAACAACGTGGTACTATTCGGACTTTAAAAATTGGGCTGAAGTACTTTTATTAACCTGGAAAACAATTGTGATATATTCATTGAAAAAAATAAAGCAGGTAATAAAAGAGTAAGATCCTATTTTTGTAAGTACACATATGTATATGTGTGTAGAAAATACTGTATGTTATAAGGATAGCTTCTGCGTGTTGCAAAACGGAGTGATTTTTATTTTATTTATATTTACCTCTTTGTGATTATTTTTACAGTGAATTACATTACTTTTATAATAATTTAGGACAACAAAATGATTTTCACTTTGGAAACAAAATTAAAATGCAAACTTCCTTTTCAAATTTTGGAAATTAAGACTAAAATTCACAAAAGCTAAACAGCTCTGGTCAATAAAGTTTCTTTTACTTAAAATGCATTTGCCATTAAAAAAACTTAAAACTTACTATTCTATCAACTTTCACTATAAGTATTATCATACACACACTATAAAGTGTCATTATAAATAGAGTGTAACTGTACGTTGCTACTGGTTAAATCTTAAGTATTTTTTATAATAGCCGGTAGTGTCTTCTAATTTTCACCAAAAAAATCTTAAAATCTTACTAAATTTCTTAATAACAGCATTTAAGATTTAAATGAGAATAAAGTAGTTTTATAAACTTACTTCTGCCAAATCTTCAAAACAGCTGCCAGCCAAGGGGTGAGGACTGCTCTCATCAGTCATTTCAACTGTGTCTTCAATCAAACCTAAAAGTTTTATTGTCAACTCATGTATATCTGATATGTTACTGAAAATCTTTTCAATGTCCTGAAAAAATAAAAAAGGTCAAGATGTGAGGTTGAGAATTTTGTTTAAAAGTTGTTAAAGTAATATAAATATTAAGAGCGTAGCTTACCCAATCACTTACTAATATATTCCAAGACATATAATATATTCTAAAACATAGCAAAAGTCAATAACAAATAAGAAAGGAAAATTAAAAGCCTTTTGGATTACACATAATAGGTTTATTGGAAAATATAGATTCTGGAATAGTTTTTATAAAATTTATTTTTCAATTGCAGTTGACATAAAATGTTATGTTAGTTTCAGGTATACAATTATGTGATCAAATATTTCTATACCTTATAAAGTGTATGTAAGTCTAGCACCAGTAAGTCTAGTACCAATCTGACATCATACATAGTTATTATAATATTATCAACTATATTCCGTATGCTGAACTTTGTATCTCCATGACTATTTTTATAGCTGGCAATCTGTGCTTCTTAATCCCTTTCACCATTTTTACCCATCCCCTACCTCCTCCCATCTGGCAATTACCAATTGTTATTTATATCTATACGTTGTTTCTGTTTCTGTGTTTCAAATTCCACAAGTGAAATCATATATATCTTTCTCTGTCTGACTTATTTCACTTAGCATAATACCTTCTAGGTCCATCTATGTTTTTGCAAATGTTAAGATTTCATTTTTCATGGGTGAGTAATATTCCATTGTACACATGTACATCTTTATGCAGTCATCCACTGAAGGATACTTTGGTTGTTTCCATATCTTGGCTACCATAAATAATGCTGCAATGAACACCTGGATATAAATACCTTTACAAATAAATATTTCAAAATTTGGGGGTAGGCATCTAAAAGAGAATCCAGATTGCTGTGTCATATGTAGCTCTATTCTTAATTTTTTGAGAACCCTCCATATTATTTTCCATAGTGACTGTACCAATTTACATTCCCACCAGCAGTGTATGAGGGTTCCTTTTTCTCCATATCTTCTCCAACACTTATTTCTTATCTTATTGATAATAGCCATTGAGGTACCATTTCACTGTGGTTTTGATTTGCATTTCTCTTATAGCTAGTGAAGTTGAGCATCTGTTCATTTATCTGTTGGCCATTTTTATATCTTCTTGGGAAAAAGTTCTGTTCAGGTCTTCTGCCCAGTTTTTTATTTTTATTTTTTTATTATCATTATTTTTTAAATATATTTTTTAAAATTGATTTCAGAGAAGAAGGGAGAGGGGGAGAGAGAGAGAGAGAAACATCAATGATGAGAGAGAATCATTGATCGGCTGCCTCCTGCACGACCCCTACCAGGGATCGAGCCCACAATCCGGGCATGTGCCCTTGACCGGAACTGAAGCTGGGATCCTTCAGTTCACAGACCGACATTCTATCCCCAGAGCCAAACCAGCCAGGGCCAGTTTTTTATTTTTTATTTATTTCTTTAAACAGATCAGGTATTTAATTAGATTCGTCATGTGATATTTAGAACACCAATTTGTGAGAATAAGTCCCATTTGTGAGAGCAAAGACAGAGTGAAGGTAGCCCTGGAGCTGAGAAACAGCTTTGAATTTTGGCAGAATTTGCAAGTCCACGGTTTTCTGATTAAACTTGCACTGTTTTATAATCTCATATTTCCCTCTCTCTCTGTCAAAGAGCTCACCATCCTGGTGTCTAGGCTTGTGCAGCCTCTTCTTTTAAAAATAAATTATTTTAAAATCTTTATTAACTTTTTGAGAGAGAAACATTGATGTGAGACAGAAACACACATGCCCCTACTGTGGATCAAACCCACAACCCTGACCATGAATTGAACCTGCAACCCGGGAAACGACTGGGAAACGAACCTGCCACCTTTTGGTGTGGTAGACAACACTCCAACCAAATGAGCCACACTGGCTAGCTTCTTCTTGAGGTAAGCATCAATGAGATGTTTGGGGATTTTCACACCACTGATACCAATTTTAGTGGAGGTGGCGATGACAAATTTCTGGTGTGTTCTATGCCTTTGTAGAGGAACTCAATTTAGGGACAGAGGTCCAGTCATAAGTAGCAAGCCATTGTTCAGATGCTTCAGGAAAACCACCCTCTTGTCTCTGTGGTGCCCAGTGAGGATAATCAGAATGGTCACTGGGGAATGATGCTGGCCCACAGTTTTCTTACAGGTTAATTGAAGTGTTTCTGGTTGTGGTTCAACAGCTTTTGATGTGCACCGTCAGTAGAATAAGATCTAGGCATTTTGCTAAGTTTAACCACTTGGGTACCATCATTCTTCTTGCCACCAAATGGTTTTTTGATGGTACCAAGAACTTTCTCCTTTCACTTTTTAATCCTTGCTTTAGCTGCTGAATACTTCCTCTTGCAAATGGCCTTTCAGGAATACATAGCCCACTGGGAATATATACCAATTTCTCTCACTAGCACAGGGTTTAGCTGCAGTGGGGTTTCCCCTTCTTAGGTGTGTTGGCCTTGAGTTACCCTTCTTAACCTTGCTATCAGCATCAGTTTTCTTGGCTTCAGGTTTTTCTCCTTAGTATCCAGCTTCTCATCTTTTTCAATCACCATCTAGCAAGTTGGGAACGAGGCTCTGCCCATTTTTTAAATTAAATTGTGTTTTTATTGTTAAAGTTGTATGGGTTCTTTGTATATTTTGAATAATAGTCCGTTTTCTGAAGTATTGTTTACAAACATTTTCTTCCATATGGTTGGTTGCCTTTTTGTTTTGTTTATGGTTACTTTTACTGTATAGAAACTTTTCATTTTTATGTACTCCCGTTCATTTATTTTTGCTTTTGCTTCTTTTGCCTTTGGGGCCAAGTTCACAAAAGTCTCTCTGAGATCAAGGTCCCTAAGTTTAGCACCTATGTTTTCTTCTATGTATTTTTATTGTTTCAGGTCTTATACTATGTCTTTAATCCATTAAATTTTTGCATTTGGTGTCCAATAGCAGTCTAGTCCTGGCCGGTGGCTCAGTTGGTTGAGCATGGTCCTGTGTACCAAAAGGTCACCAGTTCGGCCGAAACCGGTTTGGCTCAGTGGATAGAGCGTTGGCCTGCGGACTGAAAGGTCCCAGGTTCGATTCCGGTCAAGGGCATGTACCTGGGTTGCGGGCATATCCCCAGTAGGAGGTGTGCAGGAGGCAGCTGATCGATGTTTCTCTCTCATCGATGTTTCTAACTCTCTATCTCTCTCCCTTCTCTGTAAAAAATCAATAAAATATATTTAAAAAAAAAAAAAAAAAAAGGTCACCAGTTCAATTCTTAGTCAGGGCACAATGCCAGGTTGTGGGTTTGGTCCCCAGTCCGTGTGTACTGGAGGCAACTCATCAGTGTTTCTCACAGCAATGTCTCCCTCTCTCCTTCCATCTAACATCAATAAAAACCTATTTTTAAAAAATAGCAGTCTAGCTCCATTCTTTTGTATGTGGTTTTCTAATTTTCCCAGTACCATTTATTAAGCAGGCAGTATGGTTTTGACTCACTACCATACTGTTTTGATTATTGTAGCTTTGTAGTATAATTTGAAGTCAGGGAGTATACCACCTCTGATTTGTTGTTTCTTGTTCTGTTTTGTTTTCAGGATGGCTTTGACTATTCAGGGTCCTTTGTGGTCCCATACAAATTTGATGGGTTTTTTTGTTCTATTTCTTTGAAAAATGTCATAAGGATTTTGATGGGGATTGCATAAAGTCTTTATATTGCTTTAGGTAATATGGCCATTTTAGCTATGTTGATTCTTCCAATCCATGAACATAGAATATCTTTCCATTTCTTTGTGTCTTCTCAATTTCTTACAACCTTTGCCTTATAGTTTTTGGTATATAGGTTCTTCACTTCTTTTAAGTTTATTCCCAGGTATTTTATCCTTTTTGTTGCTATTGCAGACGAAATTCGTTTTTTTTTCTTTTAAAAATATATTTTATTGATTTTTTACAGAGAGGAAGGGAGAGAGATAGAGAGTTAGAAACATCGATGAGAGAGAAACATCGATCAGCTGCCTCCTGCACATCTCCTACTGGGGATATGCCCGCAACCCAGGTACATGCCCTTGACCGGAATCGAACCTGGGACCTTTCAGTCCGCAGGCCGATGCTCTATCCACTGAGCCAAACAGGTTTCGGCGAAATTCGTTTTCATCATTTCTTTTTTTGATATTACATGGTTAGTATATAGGAAGAATATTTTTTTAAAAAAGAGTATTTGCTTATCTGAATTCTTTAGAGTTGACTTTCAAAGCTACAGATATAAAAAGATGAACAAAACTTCCTGGATCCCCATCCTACTCTCACCTCTCATGCCCTGTCTTTTAACAGAGCAGCTCTGCCTTTGTTAATGTGATATTTTGCATACTTTTATCCTTAAAAAGTTCCACTGTTAAAACTTTAAAGTACTGCCTTAAAGTACCTACCAAAAGACAGGAGAGCCCTAGCTGGTCTGGCTCAGTGGATAGAGCATCAGCGCAGGGACTAAAGGGTCCCAGTTCTGATTTCAGTCAAGGAATTGCAGGCTCAATCCCCAACCCATGGATGTGTGTGGGAGGCAACCAATCAATGTTTCTCTCTCTGTGTCTCTCCCCCACCTTCCACTCTCTCTAAAATCAATGGAAAAATATCCTTGGGTGAGGATTAACAAAAAACAAACACACAGAAAGACAGGAGAAAGCATGTCTTTTCTAGACCATACATCTTTTTCACCATCTTCAAATGAACAACAATAAATCTTAGATGCTGCATGGCAGAAAAAGAGATTTCATTCCAGTATAATTCCCCTTTCTCATTTTGCATCAAATTCTCATTATCATCAAACTTATTACATCTATACTAATAAAAGGGTAATATGCTAATTAGACTGGACATCTTCTGGACAAAGCCATAGTGGCAGGGGCCTAGGCAGAGGCGGTTAGGGGGTGATCAGGCCAGCAGGGGGGAGCAGTTAGGGGGCGATCAGGCCGGCAGGGAGAGCAGTTACGGGGTGATCAGACTGACAGGTGGAAGCAGTTAGGGGACGATCAGGCTGGCAGGGGAGGGCACTTAGGGGGCGATCAGGATGGCAGGGGAGGGCAGTTAGGGGCAATCAGGCCAGCAGGGGAGGGCAGTTAGGGGTGAGCAGGCTGGCAGGGGAGGGCAGTTAGAAGGAATCAGGCCGGCAGGGGAGGGCAGTTAGGGGCAATCAGGCCAGCAGGGGAGGGCAGTTAGGGGTGAGCAGGCTGGCAGGGGAGGGCAGTTAGAAGGAATCAGGCCGGCAGGGGAGGGCAGTTAGGGGCAATCAGGTCAGTAGGGGAGGGCAGTTAGGGGCTATTGAGCTGGCAGGGGAGCAGTTAGGGGGTGATCATGCTGGCTGGGGAGAAGTTAGGGGCATCAGGCCAGCAGGCAGAGGTGGTTAGGGGCGATAAGGCAGGCAGCCAGGTGAGCAGTTAGGAGCCAGCTGTCCTGGATTGCAAGAGGGATGTCTGACTGGCAATCGAACATCCTCCAAGGGTTCCTGGATTGGAGAGGGTGCAGGCCGGGCTGAGAAACCCCCCTACCCGTGCATGAATTTCGTACACCAGGCCTCTAGTTAGTATAATAATTTACATATTTTAAAAACCCAGAAGTACTACATGAAAGAATGTTTGTTTTATATACTCCTAAAGTTACTATTTATGATTTTAAGCTGCTACCTGACCTTTAGGGTAGACAGAATTTCAAACCGAAAAAGTTACTTACAGAAGGTTTAAACAGCTTTTTGTCAGAAAGAAAGGCTTCTCGAAACACTTTTATGATCATATTTAGTTCCCGCAGATACTGTCTTTCTTCTGCAATTTCAGTTCTGACAAGGTCATAGTAGTTTAATTCACCTGAAGAACTAGGTTCATCTTCACAGAGGGAAACCAAACCTATGTCATCCTGATCAAACATGTCCATCAAAACCTGAGAAATAAATCAATAGTGCATAACTTATTTTCCTTACTTTTATAAAACCATCTCAAAGTACTTGCAATTAAAACATTATATTAAACAATGAGAGCTGTCTATATTACAGGCCAATATATGAAAAAATTCCAAATAAGAGAAATATGAAAAGTTGAAGGGAGAAAATAAATATTTCTGGAAATAAGATAAATCTAATAGTAAAATATGTGTGTGTGTGCAAACAACAACTCAGTCAAAATCCTAGTTCAACTACTCATTCACCTGTGATTACAGATGATTATTCTTTTAAAGGTAGATTCCTTATACTATATAACAAAAGCATAATATGCAAATTAACCAAATAGTGGAACAATCTCTGTGTGTGTGTGGGGGGGGCCTGCGAGCAGGTGGCTCCAGGCCAGTCAAGGTGCATGCCAGTGGGCAGAGGGAGGGGACGATGATGGGGAGGCGGCAGCAGCGACCAGCAGCGGGGTGATGGGGGCCGGCACCATCCCGATTGCCCATCCAGTCGCCTCCCACAGAGGGAGGCCACCGGCGATGGTGAGGCGATTCAGGGTGGGGCTGGCCTCTCGCTGTCCCCAGATCAGCTCGCTGGGGATGCCTCCTGCAGAGGGAGGCCACCTGCAACTGGGGTGGGGTAATTCAGGGTGGGGACAGCCGTTTGCCATCCCCAGATTGGCCCGTCAAGGTCGCCTCCCACAGAGGGAGGCCAGACTGCGGCTTAGGCCCGCTCCCCATGGAAGCTGAATATCCCGAGGGCTCCCAGACTGTGAGAGGACACAGGCCGGGCTGAGGGACACCCCACCTCCCGAATGCACAAATTTTCATGCACTGGACCTCTAGTATATAAAATGAAACTGATGAGAGAATTCAATGAGGTAATGTATATAAAATGCATACTACTATGTCTAGCAAATAGCAGACATTCAAAATAATAGTTCCTTGCCCTACTTTAAGGATGGTTATATGCACTTAGATGTGTTCAAAGGAGAAAAAAAATGAAATGATACTATAGTAGAGGCACATGATAGAAGAAAAGTGTGATGCTTTTCTGAAGGATAACATTAACAACTACTATTAAATTCATTTGTTAAAACCAAGCACCCCACAGAAGCGTAAGTTGTTATAGCAACAATTTCCCCTTTCAGAAAATAGTAAAAATTGCTACATAAGTCAACCAACAGGCAAGAACTGGTTGTAAATTAGAAGCAGTAAGAAAAAGGTGACCATACTTTTCACAATTAAAAATAGTTAATAGCCTGGTCATCGTGGCTCAGTGGTTGAGCGTCAACCTATGAACCAGGAGGTCACCTTTTGATTCCCAGTAAGGGCATATGTCTGGGTTGTGGGCTCGATCCCCAGTGTGGGGCATGCAGGAGGCAGCCAATCAATGATTCTCTTTCATCATTGATGTTTCTATCTCTCTCTCCCTCTCTCTGAAATCAATAAAAATATATTTTAAAAATATATTTTTTATTGATTTCAGAAAAGAAGGGAGAGGGAGGGAGGGAGGGAAAGAGAGAGAGAGAGAGAGAGAGAGAGAGAGAGAATATATCATTGATTGGCTGCCTCTTGCACACCCCACACTGGGGATCGAGCCCACAACCTGGCATGTGCCCTTGACTGGAATCAAACCCGGGACCCTTCAGTCTGCAGGCTGATGCTCTATACCCTGAGCCAAACCAGCTAGGGCTATAAAAATATATATTTTAAAAATAGTTAATAAAGAAAAATTGGACCTACTTAATTATATATTCTGAAAACTACTTTCTTAAGAGTTCAGGGGGAAAAAAGGCATAATCTCAAACAGGAAACTCCAAAACATAAAACAACTTCAAAGAGATGAGAGAAAATTCTGACAACACGCTATGAGATAATCATTCATTCATTCATTCTTAAACTTCTGATTAACTAATCACCAGTCACTGTGCTAGATACTGGTAAAATATAGCAATGAACAAAATAAACACTGCCCTCCTGATCTTGTTGACTCTAACTCAGAAATATTTCTTAAATGTGGTCAGTTGCATCTGCTATACTTTCTCCTATGTGAACTCATCTTCTTAGATGATTACCAATGACTATGTAGATGATGATTCCTTAAATGTTTATCTCTAGCTTCAGCATCTCTCTGGACTCTAGGTAAGTGTTATGTAAGACTTGCTAGTTATCTCCCTTTCTGACCAAACCTATATAGGTATACTCCACCTCAGCATCACTAATAGCAACATTATGTACTTGATCATCATAACTAGAAAACTTGTCATTACCTTAGATTTACCACTTCTCCAACTTCTATATTAAATCTGTCCCCAAATCCTGTTAACTGTAATTCAGAAACATCTCTTAAATCTGGTCAGTTCCTTGTATTCTCCTCAGTCTAGAATGTCTTCTCTGACCTTCCTTACAACTATCACATTTATTTATCTGACAAATACATAGCCATTTTAATCACTTAGCTCGAATATAATTTTCTCTGTATAGCTTATCCTACTCTCCCTGGTTCCCCTTTCAAAATCTTTTCCACTGGCTTCAGTCCTCTAGTAGCAATCTTCTTTCTTTCCTACGTAAACTCCTATATTGAAATTTCTAAGAGACCAGAACAATGACACTCAAATAGCAATAAGCCCATCTAGCATCCAGATCTTGGTTTTTAAATACCATAGGCCACAAAACAGAACCAGGATATTTTAGGAAACAACCAATTCCAGGCTTGAGCAGTAGGTAAAGAACAAGTTGAACCTAGAACATCCTATGTCAAAAGAGAGTGTTCAAAGATGATAGGGACAAAGAAGCCAACTTGAAGGAGCCCCACTGGCCAAATCTGGGACAATTTAATGAAGTAGTGGATTAGGGCCCATTGAGTAAAATAAGAATCCACGAGTCCACATTAAAATAAATAAATAAATAAATTTAAACTGTGCTTATGTTTTTGTTTGTAGGACACTAAACTGTGTCGGAAACTTATTCTCAAGTGGTTCAGGGAACAGGCAAATTCTACTAAAAGTCTGAGATAAAAACAAGTTTTTAAAAAGCCATGCAATCATAATTTTCAAAGTAAAAATAGAAATAAGAATTTCTACTATGAAATTTAAGTAAAAAATCATTTTTGAGACTATGGTATAGTATAGTGGCTCTCAATCATAATCGCTTATCAGAATCACTTGGGATACTTTCAAAAAATTTGAAAATACTCAGGCTTGGAGGCCCAACCCAGGCTCAGTAAATTAGAATCTTTGCAGGTGAGATGCATCAGTATTCTTTAAAAGCTTTCTGGTAATTTTGATGTACAAAGTAGAGAACTACCGGCATATGCCAGGTCCTGGGGGTCACTCACCCTTAGAGGTCTAGTTTAGGCAGCCTCTTTGTGAAGTGTTCCTGGTCTCCCTTATACCTTTAACTTATTCATTTAATATCTTTAATTACATTGTGCTGCAATTATTTGTTTATAATATTTTTATTTCCTATTAAAATAAATTCCTTTTAACATAGTTTGCTGACTTTTTCAGTGCTGTATCTTCAATTCTCAGAACAGTGACTGGTCCATGACAGGTACTCAAAAATATTGACTTAAAGGGTAAGAAAAAAAGGACAAGTAGAAAGGGGAAGAAAAGGAGGAGAGAGAAAAAATAGACTCAATTTCTTTCCTCAGTAGCTTACAGCCAGGAAGGAAGAAGTATAACAAAATTATCAAAAGGAAGTAAGTTTGGCATTGCAAAGTCTTTTTCTCTCTACCTGTGCCCCACTAAACTATTCTATGAAAACAAATTATGTTTTTCAAAATTACTTGTGCTGAATACTCTGTACACTATTTGTTCCTAAAAATATAAAACTCAAAAAAACAACAACTGTAAAACTCACACTACCTTTCTTAAACTAGTTTGAGGTTCTGCATGCTTTTTTCCTATAGATAAAAGATTCTTATTTGGGGAAAAAGAGATTCCTATCTTGTCACATGATGAAAAATCCTAAAATATCCTGGTTAGTCTGTAAAGCCAGCATTTTTCTGCCTTCCAAAACCAGGAGTTATAAAAATCACTAATATAATAATAAAAAAGTGGGAGGTAGAAGTAATATATAGTCTCTATTATTCAAGTTTAATTTAAATTCCAACACTTACCTTATCTGCACACATTGACACTTTAATGTCCTGCTGAGATATTTCATAGTGTCGAATATTAAAAACATAATTACCAGCCAATTTCAAAATATCAGCTGAGATATACTCTAGTACAGCCACAATATATAAGGACACATGGTAGTCCACTTTGTACCCTAAAACTTCCTGTGGAAAAAAATAAACAATTTAATTCTAAAAAATGACACTATCAAGTACTAGTCAGACACTTAAAAATTTCACTTAACATTATCACTTATAAAGGATTCTCTATAAACCCAAAGTCTAAACTTACAGATACCATAAGATATAAAATGAATTATTGGTCCCAGTACCAGGGGCTTTTTTAAGAAAGAGACATCTAAAAAAAAGAAAAAAGAAAGAGACATCTGCCCTGGCCAGTTTGGCTCAGTGTAAGAGCGTTGGCCTGCATACCAAAGGGTCTCAGGTTCAATTCCTGGTCAAGGGTACCAAAAAAAAAAAAAAAAGAGAGAGAGAAAGAGAGACACCTAATGTAACAAATTTGTCTTTAGTATCAAACTAAAAGAGACAGTTCATTTTAATATATAAATCTTCGTTTGGACTTAACTGAAAACTTCTTAATACATTACCCAAAACCTATTTGACAAGTATCTGCTATCTTCAAAGACCTTGCTTTAACCAATATTCCCAAAATACAATGGTTTCTATATATATATAGAAAGGGAGGGTCTTAGAATTGTTACCAAGGGGTATTCAAATCCATGTATACCAAGTATTTCCTGTAGATTAAATAATATTCCCTAGTCTACTTTCCAATGTATATAAAAATATCTGTGATAAATACAGATTAATTTAAAAACAGTTTTGAACTCACAGTTTTTGGCATTATGCATCTTCTTAAGAAAAGGTTGAAAATAAGTCAGGGGTAGTAGTCATCAAAAGATGCCACAAAGATGAATTATTGCTTATCACTAACTTTTAATATTATTTGAAACAATTTGATTTTTATCAAAGTATACTTATTTTTATTTTGTACACATATTAAGAAATATATATGTATGTGTAAGTACAAATACACATGCAAGTGCACATATACAATAACATAGACTGCGCTATTTAAATACTGTATGTGTGTGTATATATGTACATAGCAATGCTATCTCAGTATTTTTATTATGAAGAACTTCCCCAATGTTTAATTTTTTTATTACCTTCAGTGACGGATGGATTTTGTCCACAGGCAGTAAGAGGGGATTTCTTCGTTTTCGTTTCTCTATGGCAGATTGTGCATCAGCAATAGCCCATTTATCAATTGGATGAGGAAAGGTCTTTTGAACTCGTTCCTATTTAGATGATAGCAGTACTATTATTAACAGAAGTGCTCATAAGTAGAAAATTCATACAACTTTATTACCATTCTTAATGGAAGTAACAATGTTTTGATTCTTGTAATAAGTAAAAATATTTTTTTAAAAATCAACAGAACTATTAAGATTCTTCCAAATAATCCCCATGGGTAAATAAAAAGGTGAAATTTAAATAGAAAGCTTTAAGTGTAAGCATAATTAAAATGGAACTGAAAAAAAAAGAAAAAGTAATAATATTAGGAGAGATTAAAGCTAACATAAAATACTCTATCATTGATTGTACAGTAAGGTTTCCTAGCAAAAATTAACTCATTATTAATAATTATTATGCACTCACTCTCCTTTTGCTAATCTTAGACCTTCAGAAATAGAGAAGAATTTTAAAAAGAAGAGCGATCATGTACCTCTTGGAGGATCAAGAGGGTGGCGGAAGTTAGAGAATGACTTAAGGAAATGCATCTCTTAGCAAAAAAAATCCAAGCCTTTTAGGTTACTATTATGGTTCATCTAACCTTAATGTGAACCAGTGATTGGTATGAATAATGAAAAGTAATGATAACTGAATCAATTTAGCAGAATTTCTAATTTTTTAATTAATTTTATTGAAAAGTATGCTTTTATTATATTTATTTAATGAACAATTCTTACAGCAGAGATTAGGGAAACAAATGCTTTAATGCCAGAGTCCCTGACACTCTTAATAGCGCGATAACTCCAAAGAAAGATTTTCCTTCATACTGGGAGCTGCTGTCTTATTATGGAAACAACTAGAGGCCCAGTGCACGAATTTGTGCACAGGTGGGGTCCCTCAGCCTGGCCAGTCATCGGGGCCGATTGGGGCTGATCGGGGCCAACCAGCAAAGGGAGAGACCACGGGAGATTGGCAGGCTGAGGGAGTTTGGCTGTGGGAGTGCATTGACCACCAGAAGGTAGCTCCTGAGTTGAGTGTCTGCCCCCTGGTGGTCAGTGCATCATGATAGCAACTGGTTGATGGGTCATTTGGTCGACCGGTCATAACGGTCACTTAGGCTTTTATATATATAGATATATAGATATTCAAAGGAAAGGTGATATAAACAGTATAGTGCAAAAGACAGACTCATAGATAGAGGGCAGGCCGGCAGCTGTCAGGGAGGAAGTGCTGGCTGCGGGGTGGAGATACTGAGCAAAAAAGAAAAAAAGAGAAAAAACTCATGGACCATGGACAACAGTGGTGATTGCCAGGAGGGAGAAGGGGGTTTGGAGGAGGTGAGGAGGGTACAGGGGAATAGTGACGGATGGCACCTTACTTATTTTAATCCTCACCCAAGGATATGTTTATTGATTTTAGAGCAGCGGTTCTCAACCTGTGGGTCGTTCGACTCCCAAAGGGGGTCGCCTAAGACCATTGGAAAACACATATATAATTACATATTGTTTACAGTAGCAAAATTACAGTTATGAAGTAGCAATGAAAATAATTTTATGGTTGGGGGTCACCACAACATGAGGAACTGTATTAAAGGGTCGCGGTATTAGGAAGTTTTGAGAACCACTGCTCTAGAGAGAAGAAGGCAGGGAGAGCAGAGCAGAGTGACATCGACTGGCTGCCTCTTACACATACTTAACCCGGGATTCTCACTGGCAACCTAGTCATGTGCCCTGGCTGGGAATCAAGCACTCGACGTTTTGGTGTACAGGATGATGCTCCAACCAACTGAGCCACACCAGCCAGGGCAATATATTATTCTTTTAATATAATGACAATATTTATATGCAGTAAAATGTACAGATCTGAAGTGTACAATTCAAAGAATTTTGAAAAATGCTTTCCTAATCAAGATACACAACATTTCTATCATCTCAATTTCCACCCCTCAAAGGCAGCCACCCATGATCCTGATTTCTATCAACATTCATTTTAGCTGTTTCTGAACTTGATCTAAATGGTATCATTATAATATGTATTCTCTGATATATTATATTCTCTGGTATATGATGGCATATTATAATATGTCTGTGAATTGTAGCTATGTTACTGCATATATCAATAGTTCGTTCTATTATTTTATTACTGAGTAGTATTCCATTTTATAAATCTGCCACAATTTGTTTACCTATTTTCTTGTTGATAGAAATTTGAATTATTTCCAAATTTTGGCTATTATGAATAAAACCGTTTGGACATTCATGTGTAAGTCTTTTTGTAAACATATATTTTCATTTATCTAGGGTTAAATACCTAGGAGTAAACTTGCTGGGTCATAGGCCATATATATATATATATATATATACATATATATATACGTATTTAACTTTATAAGCAATTGCCAACAATTTTCCAAAGTGGTGATACAATTTTTCACTCTCGCCAATGTAAACAGTTCTCTTTGCTCTACATCTCATCAACACTTGATGTTATCAGTCTTTAATTTATCCCTTTCAGTGGGTGTGAAATGGTATCTCATTGTGGTTTTCATTTCTATTTCCTTGATGGCTTGTGAGCTTGCGAGCCTTTTCATATGTTTAGTGGCCATTAGTAGATCTTCTTTTATGAAATATCTGTTCAAGACTTTTGCCCCTTTGGAGTAAAAGTAAGGTGTCTTTTTATTTGTAGAAGTTCTTAACATATTCTGGATACAAATTCTTTGCAAGGAATACATACTCCAAAACATTTTCTCCTAGTCTGTGACACTTTTTTATCCTCATTAATTTTATTCTTTAATACTCACTGTATTTTGAGTCCTCTGTAAAAAATACTTGCTTAACCTCAGGTTATGAAGATATTCTCCTGCAGTTTCTTCTAGAAACTTTATTGTTTCAGCTTTTATGTTTAAGATCATGATCCATCATGAATTAACTTTTGTGTGAAATTAAGTTTCAAGGTTTTTTTGCCCCATAAACGAATATAGTTGTCTAGCACTTTTTTTTTGGCTGAAAATTTTTCCTTTCCCCATTGAATTGCCTTGATATATTTGCCGAAAATGAACTGACCATCTAACCCACATAATGGCATTAGTTTCCACAATTTAGAACGAAATATATTTGGATTCAAAAATTTATTTGTACAATGGCTCAGTAAGTTTTTTAAATAACAAAATAGTTTTTTTACCTCTACATCTTGAACAGTCCTTGGTTGGGCCATGCATAATTTATTAAGCAGCTGAAAAATCAGCTCTTCAATGTAATAGAGAGATTCTTCATTAGCTGAGAGATTGGGATGTACTTGCTCCTGAACCTTTAAAAACAAAGTTCTCAGTTAATATACAGGCAAAAGAATATTTATTAAATAAAAGTCAGAGTCTTATCTACAATAATAAAAGGGTAACATGCTAATTAAACCAAACATCCTTCCAGGTGTCATTCTGGACGTCCTTCCAGACAAAGCCGGGGCCAGAGCGAAGCCCAGGTCCTGGGTGCCTGGCGGCAGCAGCCAGAGGAAAGCAGCCTGGGTCTTGGATGCCTGCCAGTAGTGGCTGGAGTGAAGCCAGGTCCTGAGTGCTGGAGGGAAGCCGGTGCCGGTAGCCGGGGGAAGGAAGGCCTACTCTTGCATGAATTTTCGTGCATCGGGCCTCTAGTATATAATAACATGCTAGTATAGTTACTCATATACAGACATGAAACACATACACACAAATATCTTTATTTGTTGATCTCTGTAAACTTTTCTTAATCCACAGAGCAGTGGTTCTTAAACTTTTTGAGATCCTATGACAATCTATTGACCCTTCTCCTCCTTACCACCAAAAAATTATATACACATAAAATATTCTACATAATTTCAGAGGAATCACAGATATCCTGAAGTTAACTAATATATCTACTAAAAGTCCCTGAATACTAGGTCAGAAATCCCAGCAACAGAGGTCTCTCTAAATAACCATAATATTTTACAAATTATAGAGCTGCTCTAAGATGTTAGTCCACTTTCTTTTACACTCCTTCCTTAATGTCGCCAGGGTAGTTGGGCTGATCCTTTTTTGTTGTTAAATTTTTTTGTGTGTCCTCTAATAATTTTTTATTTTTCAATTGACAAATAGTATTATATTAGTTTTAGGTATATAATCCTGTAATTAGACATTTATATAACTTACTAGAGGTCCCTTAGCCTGGCCTGCAGGGATCGGGCCAAAACCAGCTCTCCAACATCCCTCAAGGAGTTCCGGATTGCAAGAGGGCACTTCCACGAAGGACATCCTCAAAGGGTGAACTCATTGCTGAAGTGTGTCTTGCTCCACAGGGTTGGCCCTGCATAGCAGCTCCTTTGCTGTAGTCATGGTCAGGCCTTGCAGCCAATTGGCCTGGGGGTAAATCCCTCTCATTGACATGCCAACAGCAATCAAGGCTTAACTACAGCAGGAGGGTGCATACAGTTCCCCACCTTGGGTGACCCCGGAGGCAGCCCCACTGGGCCCTACAGGACACCTACTACATAAGGCTACTCTAGCAAGACTGGGAGATGTAGCAGCTCTACCTAATACATAGAAACAAACACAGGATAGCAGCCAAAATGAGGAGACAGAGAAACATGTCCCAAATGAAAGAACAGAACAAAACTCTAGGAAAAGAACTAAATAAAATAGAGACAAGCAATCTAATAGATGTAGAATTCAAAACACTGTTATTACTATTCTATGCACCCCTATGTTCATAGCAGCACAATTTACAACAGCTAAGATTTGGAAACAGCCTAAGTGCCCATCAGCAGGTGAGTGGATTAAAAAACTGTGGCACATCTACACAATGGAATACTATGCTACTGTAAAAAAGAAGGAACTTTTACCATTTGCAACAGCGTAGATGGAACTGGAGAGCATTATGCTAAGGGAAATAAGCCAGTCGGAGAAAGATAAATATCACATGGTCTCACTCATATGTGGGATATAATGATCAATGTAATTTGATGAACAAGAATAGATCCAGAGACAAATGGTAGTAGATGGGGTAGAGAACAACCAAAGGACTTGTATGCATGCATATTAGCATAACCAATGGACACAGACACTGGGGCGGTGGGGGCTTGCCCAGGGTGGGAATGGCTGGGGGTAGGGAAGTCGTCAATTGGGGGAAAGGAGACATATGTAAAACTTTAGACAATAAGATGAATAAACACACAAAGAAACACTGTTAGAAGGATGCTCAATAAACTTAAGGGAAGATTAGCCCTGGCTAGTTTGCTTAGTTGTTAGAGCATTGGCCCATGGTCCAAAGGGTCTTGGGTTTGATTCCCAGTCAGGGGTATGTGCCTGGGTGTGATCAGGAAGCAATCAATTGGGTGCCCTGATTGTTTCTCTCTCCCTCCTTCCTTCCCTCCACTATCTCTAAAAAGAAAAAATCAGTGGAAAATATATTCTCAGGTGAGGATTAAAAAAATAATAACTTAGGGGAAGAGTAGATGAATATAGTGAGAACTTTAGCAAAAAGATAGGAAACATAAAAATGGAGGTAGAAAACATAAAAAAGAATCAGAAATGCAGAATATAATATCAAAATGAAGAATACAATACGGAATCAACAGTAGAAAAAACACAGGGTCAGATCAGCAATTTGGAAGATGCTATAGATTATACACTGAGTGGCCAGATTATTATGACCACCTGACGTTTGTAGGCAAATTAGCTATAATTTCACACTGAAGTTGCTAGAGGGCCAGACCATTATAAATAGGGAAGCAGGTTGTTTACCATGACAGAAGTGATTTTTTTCTGAAGATATGGGTAAACAACGCAATTTAACAGCCTTTGAACGTGGGATATATTTGAATGTGAGTGGCCAGATTATTATGACCACCCCATCAGTACTTGGTTGGGCCACCTTTTGCCTTCAATATGCAGCTATTCTTCTTGGCACTGACTCCACGAGATGCTGAAAGGTGATGTGAGGAATCTGACACCATGTCTGATGAATAGCACTGTCCAGTTCTGTGAGATTTGATGGTTGTGGAACCAGCTGTCTGACGGCTCTTTTAACTTCATCCCACAAATGCTCAATTGGATTGAGATCTGGTGATTGTGGGGGCCACCTAAGCAAGGTAAAGTCTCCCTCGTGTTCTTGAAACCACTCCTGCACAATACAAGCACCGTGGCATGGCGCACTGTCTTGTTGGAAGAAGCCATCTCCATTGGGATATGCCATCAACATGGTAGGATGAACCTGATCTGCAACGATACTTATGTCTGTTGTGCTATTCAGACGTTGTTCCACATGAAATAAAGGGCCCAAATCATGCCAGGAAAACATGCCCCAAATCATAACACTGCCCCCACCAGCTTGAAGGGTTGTACTCATGCATGTGGGGTGCATGCTTTCATGCTGTTTCCGCCAAATTTTCACTTGCCGTCTGCATGATGCAACTAGAAATGTGATTCATTGGAACACGTGACTTTTTTCCAATGCTCGACTGTCCAATCCTTGTGTTCCTGTGCGAATTGAGGACGTTTTATCTTGGTAACTGCAGACAGCAAAGGTGTTCGAACAGGACTTTGGCTTCCATATCCCATACGATGCAGTGTATGGCTAATTTGCCTACATACGTCAGGTGGTCATAATAATCTGGCCACTCACGTTCAAATATATCCCACGTTCAAAGGCTGTTAAATCGTGTTTACCCATATCTTCAGAAAAAGATCACTTCTACCGTCGTGGTAAACAACCTGTTTCCCTATTTATAATGGTCTGGCCCTCTAGCAACTTCAGCGTGAAATTATAGCTAATTTGCCTACAAACGTCAGGTGGTCATAATAATCTGGACACTCAGTGTGTATTTTCTCTAAGAACTACTCTGTAGAAAACAACAACACACACAACAACAACAAAAAAACCCAGATTTTTGACATGGAATATTTTTGTAGCTACACATTTCAAAATAGCATCTAATTTCCACTATGGTTTCTTCTTTGATCTTTAAGATTTATAAGTATTTTTCTTTCTACACATATGGGAATTTTTATTTTATTTTTTTAAAGAGCTCCAACCTTTATTCTGAAACAATATGCTTGTATATACAAAGAATTCATGGACAGATATGGAAGACAACAAAAAAAATTTCTTCAGGGAGAAGGATCAAGGATTTAGTTCGTGAAAGACACATTTTACTGACTCTGCAGTGTTTGAATATTTTTAAAAAACCAGTGTATATATTACCTTTTAAGTTAAAAATAAAAAATAAATTGCTAAAGAGATCTCAAAAGCAGCTTTTTCTTGAAAAACTTACTAACATAGTTGATATAGCTGCATCATAAAGACAATTTTTTTAAAATATATTTTTATTGATTTCAGAGAGGAAGGGAGAGGGAGAGAGAGACAGAAACATCAATGATGAGAGAATCATTGACCGGCTGCCTCCTGCACATCCCACAATGGGGATTGTGTTTGCAACCTGGACATGTGCCCTGACCGGGAACGAACCATAACCTTCTGGTTCATAGGTCAACACACTCAAGCACTGAGCCATGCTGGCCGGGCTCCTAAATACTTTTCATACTACTTTGGTCAAGTAAATTGCTGTGCAAAATCCTACTGTAAAACAAAAGTCCTTATTTGTCATCTTTCCCTTTTGTCTTCCTAAACATCAGTGGTTCTCAACCTTCCTAATGCCACGACCCTTTAATACAGTTCCTCATGTTGTGGTGACCCCAACCATAAAATTATTTTCGTTGCTACTTCATAACTGTAATTTTGCTACTGTTATGAATCGTAATGTAAATATATGATATGCAGGATGTATTTTCACTGTTACAAATTGAACATAATTAAAGCATAGTGATTAATCACAAAAACAGTATGTAATTATATATGTGTTTTCCGATGGTCTTAGGCGATCCCTTTGAAAGGGTCGTTCAACCCCCAAAGGGGTTGCGACCCACAGGCTGAGAACCGCTGCTATACACCTTCTCTCACAAACTGGGTAGAATGTTATTCCCTCTGCTGTCGCTCTTCTTTGTTAAAGGATACAAGGGCTCTCTTCTCATTACACTGGAGATCTTGTTCTCTTTACACAGTAGTTAGTATAGCCTCCATTCTTCGATGCCAGCTACCACTCATAACATAACCTGAGCATTCAAATGAAGCAATTGTCAACCCAATTTCACCTCTTCATGGGATACACTTTCCAGCTTTTACATACTCAGCCATGGCTGCACCTTCACCTGGGAACAGAGCATGGCCATTGTTCAAAGGTTTCTCATCTTGAGATATGTGTATTATAGGAGCTTCTGGACCTATAAGATCCATGGTTAC